TTGTCTGACCTAAGAAAATGACTTTAAGGGAAGACCAGCCAGTAGCCGAANGACGGCATTGGACAAATTGTTGCAAAAATTAGAGTGCCCATTGAATCAAACGAGTCGTAAAGTTGACGAAGCGCTTATGACTACGGCCAGCCTCAGGAAAAAGAATTTCGAAATGAAGGAAGAGCTAGATAGAGAAAGACTGCAGGTCGAGGAGCTGCGTCAGCGAATGGAAAAGTGGAGAGATCAAGTCGTAAACCCAGGCGATGGCCAAGACGATATTGGTAATAATTCCAATAGTCACATGATACAGAGGTGTTAGATCAGACTGTCTTTACAGGATTTGCCAGCAGTCGACCTTAACGCAATCGACCCAGAGTTTCTTAAGGCATACGCAGAACGACGAATCAAGAATCGAACTCAGAATTCGAGGATCATCGGATACAGGTGAGGAGTGCATTTCTGATTTCTCTATGAGTGATTATATCAGAACAATGTCTTTACCTGAGGTGCAACCTTTTAGAGAGAAACATCATGAGTGTTTCAAAAGATTTTTGTGTTAATTCGAAATGAAATATCTGGGAAATAAGTGGACAGACTCAAGCCGAATACAACTATAGAACAGTTTTCTGCGCAAAAACGCGCTAACAGTTTTCGAAACTCTGCCCGTCGAGGTTCGAGAAGGGTTGTTTGATGGAGTTATCGAGACGATGAAAAGACGCAAGGCTACTAACGGAAATAGCGAGAAAATTAAGCCATTGTCTGACCTAAGAAAATGACTTTAAGGGAAGACCAGTCAGTAGCCGAATTCTGTTGGGTATTGGAGCGAATTGCGAGCAAAGCATACCCAGACGTGCCACCAGAAGTGACTGCGCTGCAGAAAGCAGAGATCCTGAGCAATTAGCCAGCTGGAGTGGCAGCTACTGTTTAGCAGAAGCGCTAGCACAAGTGCGGAAGTCTACGGAAAGGTGGAAGAAACGGCACTGCGTTTAGAGAGAAATGCCAGAATTGTGGAAGAATGTAGGAAGACAGGTAGAAGTAAGTTTGTGCAGCAGTTGAAACCAAGGTGGGAGAAGCGAAGTGCTGAACTCAGAACTCCCATAGTGATGGAGGAAAATCACCAAGAAAATAATATGGAATCAACTGGGATCAGTCGCACCAAAAACAATAATGCACAGTTGGACAAAAATAGTGCAAGAAAAGAGTCGCGCCCTTGCTTTGCTTGTGGGAAGCCAGGCCACGTGGCCAGAGATTGTCGGGCCTCACAGTCGCAAGCGAAAGCAGTGACGGCAGTAGCAGGACCCAAGAAGCAGCCCGTGCCGGGCGGCTTACGCTGCACTGGTAGAAAAATGGGTGTGCACAACGGAAGCAAAGACCGACGACAAAGAGTTTGACGAATTCTTCGGTAAGAAGACAGTGGTGGATATTGTTATTTTTGGAATCAAGACACAAGCATTACTATTATACAGAGTCGCAAGTGACCGTGATTCCGGTAGAGTTGCTCAAAAGGGCAATAGACTCTGGGATAAAGTTAGATCATCACGTTGAACGACTATCCCCTTCTCGAGTCCGGATAAGAGATGCCTCAGAAAATTCAATGACATTCCTTAATACCATCAGAGTATGCGTTCAATTTGAGGAAGTTGAAATATCAATACTGGTATTTGTCGGAAAAGGTACGGTACGGTACGGTTCGCAAGGTGAACTCGTGGATGGAGGTTGCAAGGCAAAAAGAGGAAACAACGCTGCTGCTGCTGCCGGACGGATTCCGAGAAGTCGACACGATATTAAAGGCGCAGGGAAAAGTCGAGAGGGAAGTGTACCGGAAACTAACTGAAATAATCATGTGGCTGGACACGGCAGGAGCGAATGCGTGTATAGTCGTCGGTCCTACATGTGCTGTTTCGCCGCCAAAAAGGAATGGTGTAAACTGGCATCGGCAATAGCAACAGCAGCTCGTAATGGAATGGCGATTCTGTTGATCGCACCGCCCCGTGGAGACGCAGCATATGGACAGAATGGGATGGAGCTGAACTAGGCCGCTGAACCTGCAAGGAAGTCGGTTGCGCTCATGTCGCGGAATATTCTCAGCCTGATACCGATAATAGAAAGCAAATGCGAACCTTCACATGAACCGTCAGCACATCCAAGGCACTCTAATGCCGACGCTTATTCAGCAGAAACAGTGATTGAATATTTGCAGGCTTCAAGGGAGTATGTAAAGCCAGTAATCAATCTTCCTCGTTTCGTCAGGGCCTCGACGCACCGAAACTAACGTGTACAAAACTACTTCAAGGCCAAGCGAGAAAATCGTTTCAGACAGGTATGCCAGGCACAACCGCATCGAAGTGTCAGCCACACATTTCCATATCCGCACGATTGCTCATGTCCACACCAAAGCATGACCGTCAAGCAAGAACCTCTCAGAGGGCGACAACAGTATCGTGGTAGAAGATCTTATTAGGAAGCCGAAGAGGTGAGGGCACCTCTTCACCCTGGGTGGAAATGTAGGCGATAGGCCTTTGATACAATGGATTTGATCTTGTTCTTTTTTGACCAGCGCGCGGGAAATAGTAGTACATAAGCGTCGTCCCTATCATTACGGAATCACATCGTTGTGTTGCGGCACCACGCGGTCTTTTTCTTATTTGATTTGTTATTTTGTGTCGCTCGTTCGCGATAGAGAGTTTGTTTTTTTATTGTGTTATTGCTGACTCCTGTTTGAGCTCCGGCCTAAATTACTTGTCGTACTTGCGTCATTCGGTACAGTTCGTCGTTTGGACCGAGCAACAAAGAAATTCGGAAAAATTGTGAGGTTCCAAACGAGGGTGAACCGGAAGACTACAGAAAGCAACGGCATCGATCACTAGCCCATTGACGATCTCGAGGCCCATACGGTAGGAGCAAGCTAATTTCTTAAGCATCCATTACTTGAGTTAATGTTCCCCCAAAATGCCTTAGAAGAATAATAGATAAGTCATCACGTACGTACGTAATGGTCAAGCACGGATGCTTTCTCAACTTCGTGCTCAACCTTTCCTCGCTGTCTCAAAGATTGTATACAAAAAGGTATAGGTTGGTAGGTAAACCAGGCAGGTCAAAATGCTGTATATGATAAGCGCTCCTTTTTGTATGGGCAAATAGCAGTCACTCACCTTTATGAAGTGCTCATTTCTTCTTGCAAATCGTTGTGCGACAACAGCTGCAAGATTTCCACCAGCACTATCGCCAACAATACATATTTTGTCACGGTCGATGTCAAATCTCTCATAGCTAAATATAAAAGGAATTTTTTATGCTGAGCTCGAAGAACCATCAAACACTCCGAATACAGAACATCATTAGTTTCAGGCTCCGGCCACAACTTTGAACCCAGAGATCCCCTCTGGTATTAGTGTGGAAGTAATGAAATGAAAGGGCTAATTAAAGGGCTTTTGTGATAATATAAATGAAACTTGTAATTCTCAGCGAATGGGTGAGGTTCACATAAGCCCAGCTCTGCTGCCTGCGTACCATATCGCGTTTTTCAAAGACAGAGTATCGATAATTCTGAGGTATCTATTGAAAGTGAAATATTGGAAGCCGTAGGGTAGAGTAGTGAGTGCAAAGCGCGAAAATTGTTGGATTTTGAAAATTATCAGACTA